TTTAGATTTGGGTCAATAGTTTTCTTCTCAATACCTAGATAATTGTGAGTAAACATTGCCTCGRTAAATTTTAATTAGACGAGGCTACACGCAGAAGACAGTTTAGAATGCTTATGAGACAAAAGAGCTACCGTAGTAACTCATGGCATCTTTTACCACTATTTGTATTACTAAAACGAGTAGCGCTGGGACGTTACTAAAACAGGGAGAGGAATGGGGAATGGCAGACTGGGACGAGCGATCAGCGGTATCACCCTTAAAAAGTGTCATGGCGCTTGCAATCTAGCTTTTTTCATAATGAAAAATTTGCCAAATCAACCAATCAATGTATTGCTCATTTCTCTTAGAGAAAYATTCAGCTCTCACTCTAATCGAGTAAGTTCAACTACTTTGAAGYCAAGCTATAAATTATGGTTGCGTCTAAAGCATTCTTTCAAAATCTGTGAYGTGATTTTTATGCCTGAAATCKTTGGTAGATTGTTCTTAGTAATGCTTTTTCACGGCAGTGGTTCGTAATCGTACTAAAAAGAAGAGTTTGATAAAAAGGAGAGTGATAATCAGTAAGTATTACTCATTAGTATTTAAATTCATATTCAGCCAATTCATGTGACTGTTCTTGTCGCGACGAGCATTGATTTTCCGTCTGTAAAGTAATTACCTTAAAAACTCAATAATGATTGGAAATAACAGTTTTATTCAGTGTTCATCAACGTTGATAATATTAAATGCACTAAATAGTTGTATTGAATATCTTAGGCTTGGATCAGTGTCAATAAATATATGACTAAAGAAACTACAATTAATATTTTCAACTTTATACACAATCTAGAATAATTTTCCTTACATTACCCATTATTTAGGTAGAGAAGAGCGGATTTTGAAAAAACCCACTAAACGGCCTCAAATCACGCTGAAACTTCGCCAGAAGACTGAACAAAGTAAAAGCAACGACTGCAGCAAGTTTTGARGCAAATTGTTGAGTGAAACATTTTATTTTCATAACTCCCGTACATTCCCTTATAAACCATACACAGGAACCTTGTTTGGGCTGCCTGTGGCTTGATTTGCTCTGTCACGGAGTACTGTAATTTATTGTGACGTTACGCTGGATTGCGATTGGTTTAATCCTCAAATTAGGCTTTTAAATGTCAATCAAAATGTATTTCGGAGGTTGAGTCAAAAACTAGGCCGAGTTGTTGTTATTGCAGTGCATATTGTGGCCTTTTTAGGGGACGATATCAACACCATCTTGGAAAATCTCTGACCTCACGTGACGTCATCAAAATACTAAAATCCAAGGCATTAATATTCACTCGACGAAACTGTGGAATACAGTGGAACCCCGCTCTAAGGACACCCGCTTAATAAGGACACCTCGCTATTAAGGACARGTTTCAAAGTCCCAACGAAAGCTCCATACATTTTCTTCAAAATCAACCCCGCATTAAGAACACTTGAAATTTGAAGACGTCTTTACTGTATTTGTTTATTGATATAATGAGCTTAATACGGATTATATTGTCAGTTTTTGCGTATCAACGGACCACACACTGATCATTGCAGTATAGTTTCCTATTACAGCATAATGAAATAGACAAAGCTCGCAATACCATTGCATTGTTATTTTCCAGAACACAACTCAAAATGAAATTGTACAATGCAGTGCAGTAAATGGTAATGTCGTTCTTGTGGGGTCATGCACTTTTTGTTCCAGTTTAGGCTGTTATATTGAACATTGTCGAATTCAAGCATTTCAGCACAGTAAAAATAAATGGTTCAAAATGTGTTTTCAGCTGTTTTTCTGACACCTCGGTTAATAGGGACACCCCRTTAAAAAGGACAGTTTGTCCGTCCCAACGGTGTCCTTATTAACGGGGTTCCACTGTATTTAAAATTTCAGCTTGGCGTATACTGATTACGATTGAGTCTAAATAATCCACTAATCTMGATTAGGAYCACGAGGTCAAGATTTTTGYCATCACAGGCAGCATGCCTAGACGCATTCTCCACAAGGTCTTCACATGACTCCTTTGAATATCACATTCCAGTTCCGAGAAATCTGAATCAACGTATGATTTCTTTTCTGCATCCCTACGAAAATGGCTGTAGTCAAATCGCTCAAAGACATTACAGACACCTTCGAAGAACAACTGACCTGCTCCCTTTGTCTAGATGTATTTACTCAGCCCAAAACTCTCTCCTGTCTTCATAGTTATTGTACCAGATGTATCGCTCAATGGTATCAGAAAAGCGAGAATCAAGGCGAATATCGAATGGAATGTCCGATGTGCAAGACGACSATAGTTGTGCCAGACGGCGATCCTTCAAAGCTACCTTCGTCGTTCTACTTGGATTCTCTTCTGGACTTGCTTCATGGGATGAAAAGCAAGGCTAATGAACCAGTTTTGCCCCATTGTCTGAGCTGTGAACAACCACGAGTCTTGGTGGGGTTTTGTGCGCAGTGTAATGGCTTAATATGCGAGGATTGCTTCAACGCCCACCAATTATTCAAAGAAATACAAGATGAACACCAACCAATAAAGCTCGATCAATTTAAGGAGGAAAATGTAAACAGTTTCATCAAAAACCAGATGCTGTGCAAGTTCCACGAGAAAAAGAAGCTTGAATACTATTGTCAAGAGAGAACATGTAAACTTAGCGTTTGCCAAAAATGCGCTATTTTGAATCATCAAAACCACCAACTGCAGAGCTTAGAAGAAGCTGGACAGGACTCAAGGAAATTGATCATAGGAGCGATGAATCAAGTCGAGCAACGGAAACAAATCGACGGACAAGAATTACAACAATMTAAAGGAAACAYRSAGAGAATAGAAAGAGAGATAGCCGTGGCAGAGAGGGATGTMGATGAAGTAGTTGAAATGATTTGCAACATGGCTAAAGAACACGGAATAGCGATGAAGGAGGAACTGCAGCAGACGCTCCAAGAACTAACAGCTACAAATCATGAAGAACAAACG